GTAAAGAGAAAGGGACTTTAATTAGGCCTCTGGCACCACACTCATCAGACGAAACACGGAATTGCTTCCATTTCACGCCTGTCTTCTGTGTGGTCGTGGTATTACACCGGGCTTGCCGGCTCTGCAGTGCTAAGATGTTAAAGCGGGCACTACCGCTGTTAATGAAATAAGTTACAGTAACCATTCGGATTCAATGATTCGCTTAATGACATCTGATATTTATACATTTTATCTACTGACAGGCATCATTTGAAGCCGCTTGCGTCATCAAATACAATGTTGCTGTGAAATACAAAGATAAAGGATTGTATGAGGATTATCTCACATTTATTATACGTTTTTTTATTCCATCTGTGGATACTTTAACTGATTAGGTATTCAAATACGATACAAAGGTCGGATCAAGGATTTGCAGTTTTACAAGTATAAAACCACAATTGCGTAATTTGTTTATCAGAATTAAATCTGTCACGTCCCCTGCAGGTTTTGTACCAATGTATATACATGATATTTTATTTGATTACCTCCGGGGAAAAGGATAGATCGAATAACAATTCATCCGTCGAATTCAGTTCATTCGTTTAGGCACCAGACCAAAGGTTCCCAAAGTTTTCTCTTGTGGATCCCAAGGGGACTGGATTTATGGAATCACTATGGAAATACTAGACCATCACAATAGAATTTACATACATAAAAACCCGCACACATACGCACGGAACCTTACATCTCAGACGGGTAAAACAAACTAAAAATGTTTTTTCTAAATGATTTGATATGGAATACTAAAACAAGAATAATGTTTTCCACTGGCTATATTACTTGCTATAGATAATCTTATCTAATGAAATTCGTAATAAATCGTTAATTTGCAGTAACTATGGCTTAATTACATATATAACAAAATGTTCTTGTATAAGATAAAAAAAGTTATTAGCGTTTTGGATAACAGAATTTTAAAGTTGAAAATGATTTATCATTTTTGATAAAATACATGTGGACATATTGTTTAAATGTCCTTTATCTAGAAAAGCGTGGGTTTGGTCAGAAACGTATTAAATATATATGCAAAAACACATTGTAAAATTCTTATCATTATATCAATTGTTGACAGCGATTTAGCTCTTATATGTATTTTAACAGAAACACTTTTCAGAGGCCGATAATATGTGTTTCTTTAAATTTTCAACTGCTAACACGATCGTCATTCTGACAATGCAATAATCTAGCCTTAAATATAGTCAACCAAGGACATCTGGCCCGGTAAGATCGGCGTTGCTATCGCGATTAGTTCCGTCATAAAATATGTAAAACGCACATGAGCTTAGGATATGACATGAAAGATAAAAAAGATGTCATGACAGTACAAGGATCTTGTGACATTTTGTTTTGTAGTGAGCAATTAAAATTTGGCTTTATTAATGCCTGTCGGACCAGACAACTGTGGCGGTCTATAAACTGCTTAAATAAAGTATAGCAAAGATTATTTATTTGTTAGTTATTAATTAATTTGTTTAATATCGGTTCCTAATTCTAAATGAAATGTAAACAAAAAAGTGATAAACATAGTGACAAGGACGGCGCCTCAGTAATGCTTGGGCCTACGTCATTTGTTTGTTGTGTCGAAGGCCAATTAACGTGGCTCATTGGACTTGGGCTTTATAACGAAAATAAATATTGTATCAGTACCCTTTTATGATTTTTATTACTAAGACTATGCCTCACAGATGGTCACTATATGTGATTTAAATTCGTTTCAAATTTCAATTGAATTAGGACATATTCCAGTTACTTTAATAACAAAAGAAATAGTAAAAAAACTCAAGACCTTTGACAAATGTATTGGGGAAAATCAGAAGCCGCGAAAATAAAACAACTCTATTTCAAGTCTGATCACTCCTTTGATCTGATCAGTTCAATCCTTTCCTACACTTACTTTCAAAAACTCTATTAATACTCCAGTTTCAACATGCTAACGATTTATAACACGTTAATACTTACACATAGACACAACATCACGGACACGCAGGTAGGAGATGGCAAGGCGCATCACTGACGCCTTATCCAGCTGTTCCACCTCCTCCTTCTTTGCAGGCAACGCGGCAGTCAACTCTGCAAAGATCTGCATCTCCTTGGTGCGCCGGCAGCGCGCCGCCACACGAGACTTCTCCTTCCTTTTCTCATTATTCCTGTAGACAGAAAAAAGACTTAAGTTTCGATAGTGTTACAACAGCCACACACATCAGGTAACCTACAAGCAAAACGAGTGTTTGACAAAACTGTAGATATATGATATGTGTATAATGAAATTCGATTATACATAGCCTAGCGTGTTTAGGGTAAGTTTTCAGAATAGGTGTAATAATCCCTTTTTTTAAATCGCAGCTAGAAAATTGACACATGCAAATGTCAAATTCCAAAATAATGTCAGTATTTTTTGTGCAGTACCTGTGATATTGGTTTTGTCATCTCTATTAGACGCTTAAATTAATTTAATAAAAGACCAAAACACTTTATTTTTAAAGCATTTTAGTAAAGAATACATTATTAATAAACCTATGACTAGTTTTGTAGTTAATTATACACAGTAAAATGTGTTTTGAATTTGGTTATATGTATATGCTTAATTTGAATATTGAGTTTTAAAGAACATTAAAAATTTTGCACGATAACTTATTAAGCATAGGTAATAAAACAACATAAATTTTTATGTTTTTCCGGTAGCGGGACATCTGGGTACATAACTATTTAAGTTCAAAAAGCTGGCAACACTCGAAATGTCATTTTACTCACTGGGATTAAAAGACAGTAACGAATAATTTCCATGATTTTCTTTTAAGTACAGATTTGTGACCAAACTTTTGTTTTATATTTCGTTATATTATTACATTAATTGCATAGACATTTTGAACGAATTAACGGTCGGAAACACGCATATCATCAATTACAAAATTATTTTTACTGACCAAAGTCTAACTCGTCGATACAAAGAAGTTACAAATCACTATTTCGATATTATCTATACTTGTGACGTGTACATCAATATCTTAATTCGAGTACTGACCATATCAATAAAACTTACGATTGACGAAAAAGTAACAAACATATGCTTATTATCATTAGCAATTCAGATAGCCTTGAAGTATCTAATAAACTAAACTGCCTATCTCCTTACATTTTGAGTGTAATAATCATGATTCGAGTTAATTTTATAATTATTGTATATCGTAAAAGATTTAGAAATAAAACTATTTTAACGAAGACATTATGTAATGACAAAATATGTACAGAAACAGACTATAAAAAAGTGATGTCGTCGACAATATGTTCTAAATTTGAATTATTTAATTTCTTCTTCTTTTCTAATGGCTTGTCTCTAGTAATGTGTAAAAACTCCTTGAACAATTATTTTTACGAGAATAAAAGAATTCATTGTATTACATTTAAAAAATAGAATATTTATTATCTTGTTTTCAGGTCTAGAAAGGAATATTTGACACATAACACACCTTTTAGTCACAGAATGCAGTTTAAAACTGCAATGTTCTATAACAGGTGATCCCAGTACACACATTATGATGAAATATAGACAACTTCACAGAGCACATATACACAGACACTAATCATTAAATAAAAAATAGACGATCGCAGCAAGGGCTGGTTCTATACCGAATGCCACACAAACATAACAAAACTGTTCACATAATGTTAATTGCTATTAATTTGTCGTTAAAGCCAGTCGCCATATTTTATCACTTGCTCCAAATAGTATTTGACAAGTGCGTCACAAAAGTGATTTTAAATTACCGCTCATGTTTTATCAATACAAATGCAGCCGGCATCTATCGATGTTTTTAATGCGACCACCATGAGCACTAAAGTAGTGCTCTAACAGTGGTAGAGCCAGCTTTAACATCTTCGCACGAATGGGTCGGCTCACCCAGTGTAATACCACGACCACACAGAAGACAGGCGTGAAGTGGGAGCAATTCTGCGTTTCGTCTGATGAGTGTTGTACCGGTGGGCCAACTTGAGTCCCTTTTACTTCTCACCCTTTTTCCGAAAAATAGGATGGGAAGGGAATTTGGATTTGACGGTTGAGGAGACGCACAGGAAGGGGAAATATCCTCTAATGTGCGTCTCCTCCTCCGTTGATTAAGGGTAGGCAACTTATCCGCTATTGCGATTGTCTATGGCCAGCGGTCGCCTCGCCATCTTGGCGGTTTCAGGTGCCCGCTTGCTCGTTTGCCTTCTTATGTTATAAAAAAATCACTAATAGTTTAGAAGTTGACACTAAAACCATTATTTTATTTAACTTAAAATAATTATTCAATTAGCTACAATGTAACAATAGAAGCGACATTTAGGATTAAAGTGCTATAGCATTGTATTTCGAATGGGCTATTCCACTACTATTGACGCACAACATAGACGTGACCTGATTAAAAATTATACTAAGAATCTAGACACCTACGTCACGATTGTACTCTAAACCTGTTACACAACGATGACTAGAATCTTCTAGAATAATTGAGACATGCAATTTGTGACAAGATCGATTAAGCGTGAGTTTCTACACCGTATTATTCTTATGTAGGTGTTTAGGGTACGGAAACTAACTACAAAATAAACAAATCATTGTCGTACGATCTGATAAAAAATCATAGATTTGCGTGTTACCATGTCTTGAAATTCCACTTTCTTAAATAAAATATCTCGTCTACCTTATGATTAGTAGGATTTCATTAGAGTCGAACAAAGTAAAATAAATGTAACGTTATCTTAATAAAATAAAACGTGTCAAGGTTGCAGGATACCGGAAGTCCTCGGGCTTAACTACGGTAATGAAAGTCTCTTGGTTGAATACTAATTCTATTGCAGTTGGAAAAAATAGTATTTTTTATATAATTCGCAAAAATAATTTGCAAACGACAGATAAAATTTTTGTATTGATAAAACACAGCAGCAACTGATTGTACAAAAAAAAACTAATGCCATAAATTCCGTCACCGTATTCCATTACTGTAAAACTCGTTTCAGTTTATACTGAAACATATTATTCTCTCATTTATTTTAAGATAAAATAAAGGGACGTCAATATGTTCGTACGGCTGTTTTAGCAGTAGACACCCACGGTTATTTAGAACGTTAAAAATGAATTTCGGTGCCGTAGATAAGGACGGCAGTAGTCAACGAATGCAACGCACTGAGGAAAAATTTATCGAACATCCATCCTACTTTCCGAACGAGAGAAAAAACTAGTTACGATCGAGTAACCAATATAATTTGCAGTCATTCACTCGGGACTGCTTTGCTAATAAACTCGTAAATCAACTTGTTTTGCGTGAAATCTGTATTTAATTAGACTTCTATTTTATGTTAAAATACGCTTGATATATTACTTACCATTTACTATCCAAATATTTCATTAAAACTAAATGCAATATGCATTCAAAAGTTTCCGAAAATGAAATCAATAATGACGATATTTTTAACGAACTCCGTTAATATCGTTTTTTTAATAAGTCCGATATTTTAACGTATACCATAATATTATTCATGTAATAAATTAGAATGTTTATATAAAAGGATGGATGCATGTTTCTTAAAAGGTATCTATCTGAAGAAAGGCATATAGAACATAGTGTAGAAGAAGAAAAAGGTAACTGATTATAAATTATTTTGTAATTCTGTGCAGTGGAAGTCGCTGACAAAGGCTAGTTATTAATATTTCCCGCCTTAAGATAAATATGGGAATATAATATACAAAACTTGTATTACCAAATAAAGCAGGTGCAAATAAAAACTAAAAGCATACACAAAGTCAACAAAACAAATGGCCGCTCAATAAAATTAGCATACATATACTAATAGATATTTTAGAGAAAGTAAGATAATGGAATACTACAGAAATCTCTGGGTAGTTCTTAGTTTACGAGTCGGTAACGCTTCTAGGAATCTTAACACAATAATGGATGCGAATTAAATTCAATTGATCGTTTTTTCCTCGTGGAATTTACGAAAGAAAAATTTAAAAAATTAAAAAATTCAAACTGCTAATGAAAATTGTATAAGTAAATTTTGTGTTTAGGGTTACTTAGGAAACTCAAATGTCTTATGTGAATAGAAAATTGTAAGTGAAGGGAATTAATACTAAGAGATAAAGAGTTTGATGGAAGACTATGACCAGGTTGTGTAAAATAAATTAGATACATTGTATAGTGTCAATAATACTAAAAAGGTGATATTCAGGTGCAGGATGGTGCAGTTTCTACGTATGTATACTGTCGAGCTCAACAATTGACGATGATTGCAAAAGTAATCGCGTTCCCGTCAATTGAAGGAGGTGTGACGCGCGCCCGCCAATTTGTATGTCCGTTCGTTATTGATAGCTACCGCCAGCTTCTCTCTGCACACATTCTGGCCTCGTTTGCTAATAAAACATTGCTAACTGCAAAATTTGTTATACTAAATGTATCGGATTGTTAGCAGCATTGTCTTTCTGTCAAATAAATGCAGTTTTTAATCGAACTAATGTAATTGTGATAATTTAACTTCATAATTCAATATTCTTAGAGATGGACACTTGAGGACAATAAGGATGAGAACAATGTCATGGTTCTGTATGTTTTTGGGAGAAAATACAAACACGCATATGTCATCCCTCACGTTCCCTTTAAAATAAGGGAGATAACAAATTATTTTGTACTGATAATGCAGTGAAAAATGACATTTAGCCCTCATTCGTACGGACGCTTTTTTAACGGTGCGTTTAAATTCAGTGTTGGCAGCTCTCCAACGACGAACGCTTTAAAATCACTCTTGTTTCGTTCGCCAAACTCTCAAAGGCATCAAGGCTCGATAAAAAAGCGTGCTTTAAAAGCGCTTTTGTATGCACAGATACTTAGAAACTCATTTTTAACGAACGTTATAAAAATGCCCGATTAAATGATGGTTTACAAATGCGTATTGAATTCAAATTTGGAAAGCATTTTGTATCGACAATTCGGTATAACTGATGACGCAATAATTTACGTAGAAGGACATGGTTTCACTTTTGGTAGTGTAATATTTGATTAACGATTGCGACAGCCTTGGTTTTAGATCGCAGGACAAGTTTAATATCAACGAACTTATATTTTTACTATCAAATAATTTCTAGAAACTTTAAGAAGAAAATGCGTTATAA